CGGGCGCCCCCCGCCAGCCCTGCTTCGGCCGGCCGGTTCCCCAGCTAGCCCCGCAATCTCCCCCAGGCAGCCTCACTGCCCCCGCCAACTGGTTCCCCCCACCCCTGCAATCTCCCCTGGACAGCCCCACTGCTCCCACCCCCTGGCCAGCCCTGCTTCTGCCAGCTGGTTTTCTCGCCCCCCCCTCGCGATCTCCCTTGGCCAGCCCCCCTGCTCCTGCTCCCCGAGCCAGCCCTGCTTCTGCCAGCCAGTTCCCCCATCCAGCTCTGCTTCCGCAGGCCAGTTCCCCTCCCTATCTTCCCTTGGCAGCTCCACTGCCCCGACCCTGCTTCCCTGCGGCCCAGCTCCAGCTCCCCCGCCCTCCTCCACAGCCAGCAATAAGAGCTCACCTGGTAACCCTCACTATGCCTCTGCCGGGAGCCTGAAACATACGGCTGCATCTGCCCAGCCCAGCTGAGGGCTTGGGGAACCAGGTGCTGCACGAGCAATCCGAGAGCCCGGAACACCCTGGCAGCCACGCTGAGGCCTGGTATTTGTTTCCCATAGTTTGGGAAACGCTGCTCGCCCCTGCCAGGAACCTGTTCTATCCCTAGGACCTTCCCCAGCCCACCAGGGGCCTGTTCTCTCTCCCCCCACAGGTCCCCTCCAGCCTGGCAGAGGCCTGTTCTTTCTCCCCACAAGACCCTCCAGCCAGAAGGGGCTTTTTCTCCCTTCACAAGCCCTCCCCTGCCACTAAGGACCTTCCCCCCCCCAATCCCTCTTAGCCACCGGGGCCTTTTTTCTTCTCGCCTCTGACTCCATGGCCAAGGGCCGGAAGGGGGCGGGTAAAGAATTTAGGGCAGGGCGGGTACTTTCTGTTGTGAAGGCAGGAAAGATGCAGAGCCCCAACCCTTCAGGCCCAGCCCCCGGTGCACACTCTGCAGGATAGCTCTCCCCAGGGCTTGCTGCCCCCAGTGGCGACTCTCATATTGCATCCCACCGAACAGCAGCCCCTCCCTTTGCATGTTATGGAAAACAGTCTCTTTCCTGGGGTTTCTGGTTGTCCTGGCACAACCAAACCAGGATGCTGCTTTTAGTTAAGAGAAGAGGAAGCTGCCTACCAAATTTGGTAGCCCTAACTCTTACCATTTAGGAGGAGTTCTTGAACAAATGGGCTCACAGACAGACAGACACATTCTGTGATATGGAGATAGATTTAAAGGAAAGGAACGGTGACCGTGTTATAATCGCTCTAGATTGTTTTTCAGTTCCGAAAAAGATCTGGGAATGGTTTTGATCCTAAAATAACTTACGTTAAAAAGTTTGTGTGATGGGAACAAGGAAGGGAAGATGGAAGCCGATGTCATTTCATCAGAAACTGGTTGAGTGATCTTAATTGCATTTCCATACATGCACACTTTTAATGTAAACTGCAACTTTTCTGTAGGGATTTTTGTCTTTAAATTGTTGTTAAATACTCTCATCCTGAGCACCATCTTAACTAGATATATTTAAGAAGTTTCTCACACTTTAGCATTTTCTGGAAAGGCCCAACACTTAAGTCGGTCAGTGTCAGCATTGATTTCACTTTGTGAAAGTCATTTCACTTCTCTGGCATAGGTTTTGGAAACCTATCCTCCATTTCATGAGCACAATGTGTGTAGGCAGATTTGTCATTTAGATGTGCATTTACTTCATTTGCAAGTGCCTAAATGCAAGTGCACCTGATTAAATGTCTAAAAAACTGTCAAGTTACACAAGCAATTACTTGTTGGCACAAACACAGAGACCCAAATAAGGCAGGGTCAGAAAAATTGATCCTGTGCATCACCATTTCTCTAAACACAAGATGGAGAGAATGTTAATAGATATTTTTCTGCCACAAGAATGTTGCAAGAAATGTTGCATTTGTAAACAAGGTGTTTTTTAAGTTCTCAAGCAAAATATAGCTGCTAAGTGTCATTAATTTAATAGGACAGTATCTTGAATGTTTAAAAGTCTCAGAAGGGTAGACTTGTCAGTCTGAAACAATAAAAACCCCTTAAAAACCAACAATATTCCTATAGCACCTTTAGGGCATGTCTACACTGGGAAATTATTTCAAAGTATCTTATTTCGAAATAACAACTCCCAAAATAACTATTTCCAAATAGCGTGGCCACACTACAAGAAAGCCTCAAAATTAGTCCGAGGCAGGCTCCCTTAATGTGGATTCGCCACCTCTACTTCGAGCCCCAGGAAGCACTGGGGAGTAATTATTTTCAATGACTCAGGGGAGAAGTTGTTTCAAAATAGCAGCAGTGGAGCAGCCACACTACCGCTATTTTGAAATAACTATTTTGAAATAAGTGTTATTCCTCATGGAAAGCAGGAGCTATTATTTCAAAATAACTAGCCCCTTATTTTGAAACAATGGGCTTGGTAGTGTTATTTTGAGATAAGGGGAGTTATTTTGAAATAACTTCCTAGTATATACCAGGCCTTAGGGACTAACCAAAACATTTATAGATAGTGTTATGAGCTTTTGTGGGTACAACCCACCCAAATATTTGTCATCTGAAGAAGTGGGTTGTGCCCACAAAAGCCCATGATACTATCTATTTATTTTTTGGTTCGTCCCTAAGTTGCTGCAGGACCATTGTTGTTTTTTTAGATTTTTTCATATGACAGTATATTAATTATAGATTAAAGAACTACCTAGACATTGTAGAGGGTACACTGTAATTTTCCATATTAGGAGGACATAGGTATGTCCAGGGTTTTTTAAATGTACACAGTAAGTAAAGAGGATTTTATTCACTGAGTTGAAGTTCCCTTCTCTTGTTTTTCACACACATATTCCAAGACTGGTATTTTTTGTTTTGCAGTCTTTGGCAAAAGAAAGGAAATCTGGCCCCGAAACATTGGATTGGACCAGCTAATTTAGTCAAGTGCAAGCCATGCCCAGGGACGCATTCCAGCCCAGTCTGTGGATCTGATGGACATACTTACAGTTCCAAGGTAAATTCACTTTACAGTCAGAAACTTTGTTTGCAGTGGCCACTCAGGTTGTAATGCAGAGAAGTGCTAGTTGTAGCAAAAAAAATAGTATTCAGTTTGTAGACAGCCATGCTATATATAAAAGGATGCTGATAATTTTATACTTGTTATATTTGGGGAAAGCACCAATGTGTAATTGCAAATACCCATTTCTGGATCCTCTGAGTCAATATTGTCTTATATTTGCTCTTTCCCCTGAAGTGGTGAAATGCTTTTCACATGGATGACGCCGCACTCGATCATTTCATTCATTGTATGGTTGGATGACAAAACCCATGGTACTGTTCTAGCTGCTGGCTTTGTCCTCAGAATGGCAATGTCATTCTGAGATGGATTTCCTGTTGAGTGGATAACATATTACAGTCCACTTAAGTCATAGATTTAACATTCTTGTGTTCCATAGGTAGCATATATTATAGCTAAGAAAAAAAGTTCTCTCAGAACCCAGCAGGTATAAATTGGACCAGTGTTATATTGACAGTCTGATTGCCTTAGGGCTTGATTCAATAAAAGAAACCCACTCCACAGCCATGTTTAATTCAGCAGTCCAAATCACATGCTGTTGGTTTTAAGCCTTCTGGTTTTTTGCTGGTTTGTTTTGTACAATACAGTGTTCTATATTTATACATCATGCTCTTGGCATGGGGAATTATGTCTGGGGAATGTCTCTAAAGTCTTTAGGGACAGATTCTTCCCTACTCTCAGCTAGAATAAATCTTGACAGCCGGTAAAACTACCTTTAAAAGTTTCAGGAGGGCTCAAAAGAT